ACAAATGAGAACTATATTAAAAACAAATGGAAATTCTAGATCTAGAAAGTACAATATAAAAATTAAAAATCACTGAACGGTATTAATAGCCTATTGAAGATAGCAGGAAAAGAAGTCAGGGAACGTGGCTGGGTGTGATGACTCACACCTATAATCCTAGCACTCTGGGAGGCCAAGGCAGGAAGACTGCTTGAGCTCAGGAGTTCGAGGCTAGCCTGAGCAAGAGCAAGACCCCATCTATACAAAAAATTTAAAAATTAGCTGGGCAACTAAAAATAGAAAAAATTCGCTAGGCGTGGTGGTGCGCACCAGTAGTCCCAGCTACTCAGGAGGCTGAGGCAGGAGGATCGCCAGAGCACAGGAGTTTGGCGTTGCTGCGAGCTAGGTTGACACCATGGCACTCTAACCCAGGCAATAGAATGAGACTCTGTCTCAAAAAAAAAATAAAAAAAAATAAAAGAAGTCAGGGAACTTGAAGACACATGAACAGGCATTATTCAACACAAAACACACAGAAAAAATGACAAAAGAAAAACAAATGAGCAGAGCCTCGGTGACCTAAGGAATAATATCAAGCATCTAACATACAAGTGGCTGTTTCAGAAGGAAGGCAGAGAGAAAACAGGACAAGAATACCTGAAGAAATAACGATTTTTAAAATTCCCAATTTGATATAAAAACATTAAACATCCAAGTAGTTCCAAGGCAAAATCATCCTGGCAAAACCACCCAGGAAAATCCCAGTGAGACTATGAAAAACCAAAGACAATCTTGAAAGTCTGAAAACAGCCAGAGGAGGAAAACACATTCTACACACAGGACAAGGAATGACACCAGTGATGGCTAGCTCCTCATTCAAAACCAAGGCCACCGAGAGGGAACACAGCTTCGATGTGCTGAATGAAAACAACCCGAGCCATCAAAACAGCCTACAAAAATGACGGTGAAACCACATTTCCAGACAAAGCTGAGAGAATTAGCACTAGTAGACCTATGTAAGAATGTCAAAGAAAAGCTAATGAGAAGTTACACGAGTGGAAACAATGATTTATGAGAAAGAATGAAAAGGAACAAAAATGGTAAATATGTGGATCAATATAAATGATTACTTTTACCTTTCTCTTCATTTTTTAAAACTGATTGCTTAATGCAAAAAATTATAACACTGTATTATGGGAGGTTATATAAAATATGAAGGTGCGGGATTTATAAAGTACAGAGATATAAAATACAGGTAACAGCGCAAAAGAAAATGGTAAACAGAAGGACACTGTTGCAAAGCTCTTACATCTTATGTAAAGCGGTACAATAATAACTCTAAATCAACTATGATCAAAGATACATGACTATCGGCCGGGCGGGGTGGCTCACGCCTATAATCCTAGCTCTCTGGGAGGCCGAGGCGGGTGGATTGTTTGAGCTCAGGAGTTCGAAACCAGCCTGAGCAAGAGCGAGACCCCGTCTCTACTAAAAATAGAAAGAAATTAATTGGACAACTAAAAATATATAGAAAAAACTAGCCAGGCATGGTGGCGCATGCCTGTAGTCCCAGCTACTCAGGAAGCTGAGGCAGAAGGATCGCTTGAGCCCAGGAGTTTGAGATTGCTGTGAGCTAAGATGACACCACGGCACTCTAGCCCAGGCAACATAGACTCTGTCTCAAAAAAAAAAAAAAAAAAAAGATACATGACTATCATTCATAGGGTGAGTACTAAAAAGTTAAAAAGGCATAGCTAAAAAGCCATTGTTGGAATTAAGATAGAAAACAAGAATATATTTGACCAATACAAAAAGAGGAACAAGAAAAAGGAGAAAAAACACTGGGGTGGGGGAAGAGAACAGTTTAACAAACCTAATCCCAACCATATTGATAATCATATTACAAATAAATGGACTAGACACTCCAATTAAAAAGCCAAGGTTGTCACCATGGATAAAAAAACAAGACTCAGCCATATGCTCTCTACGACAGACTCACTTTAAATATGAAGACAGAAGGTTTAAAAGTAAAAGGATAGGAAAAGATGTATCATGCAAACCATAAGCAAGTTGGTACGGTTCTATCAGTATCAGACAAAGACAACTTGAAGATAAAGAGTTATTTCCAGAAATAAAGAGAAACATCTTATAATGATAAGGGTCAAATAATTAGGAAGTCATAATCAGAAATGAATATCACCTAGTAAAAAGGCTTTAAATGTATGAAGTACAAACTGACAGAATTAAAGTGAAAAACAGATCTCGCCACCTGGGTAGGAAACCCTCTCTCCTTAACTGACAGAACTAGAAAAAGAATCAGTAAGAAGACACATTTGAACAACTCTATCAGCTACCTTTATAGAATATTCCACCTAACATATGGTGAATACACATTCTTTTCAAGGGCATATTTACTAGGATAGATTGTATATTCAGCCATAAAATATGCCTCAATTAATTTCAAGGATTGAAATTTTACAAGTTTGTTCTCTAACCATAATAAAATTAAATTAGATATCAGTAAAAACAATAAGGTATTTACAAACATCTCCAAATGTTTAGAAATTAATGTACTTACAAATAACTCAAGGGTCAAAGAAAAGAAAAATCAGAGGAAAGACAGTGGCAACATATTGGAAAGAACAGACTTAGAGGGAAATAAAACCTTTAAATTTACATCAGACAACAAAAGAGTAAAAGCAATTATCTGATTCAACCTTAAAAGGCTAAAAAGAAGAAAATCAAATTAAACCCAAGTAGAAGGAAGAAATTAAGAACAGAAATCAATATAATAGAAGATAAGCTACGACGGAAAATGAAGCTAAAAATTCAATACTTTTAAATGATAAATAAAACTGATGAAATCCTAACAAGAGAAAATATAAATTGCCAATCACACAAATGAAGATAAGAACATCACTACAGAGCCTACACATATCAAAAGGAAAATAAAGGAACATTACATAAATAAATTCAACAACTCATTTGAGATGGTCAAATTCCTTGCAAAACACAACTGAAAGCTGCAGTGAGGGCAAACAGTGCAGTCCTGCCGCGTAAGGACGTGGAGCCACCGGAACTCTCACATTACTGAGCGCAGGCACCACGACACAACCACTCTGGACAACAGTTCAGCCATTTCTTATGCAGTTAAACACGTACTTTGCCAGATTAGTCAGCAATTTCACTCCCAATATTTACCCAAAAGAAATGAAAACTTATATCCACAGAGACTTGTACACAAAAATTTCACAGCAGCTTCATGCACCACAGCCAAAAACTGAAACAGCCTAGTTGTCCGCCAATAGGAGAATGTTGTATGTTCATATAATTCATATAATGGAACCCTATTCAATGATTTTAAAAAACCCCAAACTACCAGAACATGCATCAACATAGATGAATCTCAAAAATATTTATGCAAAAGCCAGACACAAATGGGCACATATTGTATTAACTCCTTGTAAATGAAATTTAAGAACAAGCAAAAGTAATCTACGGCGATAAAAATCATAAATCTAATTGCTGGGGGCAGTACTGTTTATGAGGTAATAAAAGAAAACTTTCTGGGGTAAAGAAAATGCTCTATATCTTAATTGGGGTTTTAGTTGCACAAGTCTATACATTTATGAAATGGAATTTTTTTAAAAAAATGAAGATCTAGGCATTTCACTGCATGTAAATTTTATTTCAACAAAAACAAAAAGCATCTCATTACTCATAGACGTATCTCGTCTCATTATTCAAACTGTATCTTATGTATATACTATGTTGTATTCAAGCTGTATCTTCTGTATATCCTATATTGTATTCAAACGGTATCTTGTGCACATATTCAGGAAGAGTGAGGTTGTAGCAAATGGCCTAACACAAGGCTCTTACCTGGCAAATCCCTGGGGCAGTTCTCCAAGGCCATAGAGTGGATAAAGGTATGGGCTTTTGCCGTATCTTGCCAAAGACTCACTGTAAAGTTTAATTCTATTAATGGTTTCACAACATGGCTGATCTAAGTAGCTGGAGAAAAGGAAATGAGTATTAGAAAGGGGCTTTAGTTTTCATTCTTGGTGTTCAGTTTAAAATTTTTCTGAAGTGATTTCAACCTACTACTTTCATATTTCACTTAAAAACTTCCAACATTAATTTGCAACTAGAATCTCTTCTTTCACAGTGTAACACGGCTATATATTGGGTCATTGGGTATGAAATGTCCGATTTCTTTAAGTACCAAGTTTGACAGCTGATCTGACATTTCACTTTAACACTTCTTTTTTCCCTATTGTAAAGGTACATTCTTGGTCTTCCAAACACATAATCTGGCTTGTGATTATCTTTCACTTTTAGAGCCATTTTTGTGAAAACATGGATAAGTCAAAAATTTCTGTTATTTTTGAATATGAATTCCATCATGGAACCAATGCAGTGCAGACAGCTCAAAATATCATCATAGTGTTTGGCAAGGTGTGGCTAAAGAACGTACGTACATCGATGGTTTGAGAAGTTCCTTCTGGTTAATTTTGAAAATGAGCCATGTGGGTCACCTGACACCAAGGTGGATAATGATGAACTGAAAACTGTGGTGGGAGCAAATACATCTCAACCTATGCGTGAACTAGCAGCAAGGTTTGACGTTACTATTCCAACAATATTGGACCATTTGAAACAAATGGGCGAGGTAAAGAAGCTGGATAGATGGGTACTGAATGAATTAAACGAGCTTCAGAAGAGAAATCGTGTCAAAGCTTGCCTTTCTTTGCTGTCATGACATAAAGGTGAACCATTTCTACACTGTATTGTTACATGTGATGAAAAAATAGATTCTTTTTGACAATCACAAGCATTCACTGCAATGGTTGGATAAAGATTGAGTGCCAAAACACAGTCCAAAACCAAATATTCATCAAAAAAGGCTAATGGGGTCTATTTGGTGGTCCCGCACTGGTAGTATCCACTACAGCTTCATGAAACCTGGTCAGTCGATGACAGCAGATGTCTACTGCAACCAACTGGTTGAAATGAGGAGGATGCTTGCAATGAAGCAGCTGAGATTGGTCAACAGAAACAAGCCAATCCTCTTGCAAGACAATGCTCAACCACATGTTGCACAAACAACGCTGCTCAAGCTACAGAAGCTGGACTTGGAAACTCTGTCATCCACCATATTCACCAGACCTTGCACCAACTGACTACCACTTCTTCCAGGCTTATAACCACTTCTGGCAAGGAAAAATATTCAATTCTGAATGAGCTGTGAAAAACGCCTTTCACGATTTCATCGCCACTGGCTCTCCAGGCTTCTTCGCTGCTGGCATAAACAAGCTACCCTTGAGATGGCAGCACTGTGTTGACAGTTCAGGCACATACTTGGATCAACTATACTGCTTCTTGTTTGAGATATAATAAACTAAACTTTGGATTCAAAATTGGACATTTCATATTTAATGAGCTAATATTTGTTTTGTTAGAATTTCCACTTGGGAGAGAATTGGGAAATTCAGTGAGTGTTCCAAGAAAAATACAAACCTAGAAACCAAAATACTTACTCATCAGTTCTGTAAAGTGCAAGAGCATGACCAGTAAAATCTATAACATCTTGGCCCAAGTCAAATTTCTTATACACGTCGCGCATCGTGGTCTTCTTAGGATCAATGCCCTCAAAAGTTCTGGTATCTTTTTCATCAAAGTTGGCAACATACACTAGGAATTTTCTGAAGCGGCGTTTTTCAAACAGTCCCATTAAGCCTAAAAAACAATTTTTCAAAAGGTACACATTTACAATAGGACACTGAAGAAAAGAAAGGATGAGTGGAAAGTTTAAACACGCCATGTCTTCCACTGAGGAATCCACGGCGCCATTTAAGACACGGGAATGTGGACTGCGTGGCTTTCAGTTTCACAACACTTTAGAACAAGTCAGTTATGAAGTCTTCAACTGCACCACACAACTACAAGTGACTGTAACCAATACTTAATTAAATGAACTGTGAGTCAAATGATGTCTCTTACTAGGTACAAATACGACTTTGCGATGTCCCCCTGGAGGCATCCCTCTACACTCGAGTTCACATCAGCTGGATTTAGATGTTGATGCTGCTGCTCACTTACCTAAAGGAAGGCCTAGATAATCAATTCACTGCTTTTTCCACTAAAAAGCAGATGAAGAGAAGCTATAAACTCACTTTA